CCCTCAGCTCTTCAGCTCAAGGCTAGCGCTCTACCACTTGAGCCACAGTGCCATTTCCGGCTTTTTTCTTTTTGCTTATATGGTGCTGAGGAATCGAACCCAGGGCCTTGAGCATGCAAGGCAAGCGCTCTACCACTGAGCTACCTTCCCAGCCCTTCTTTTTTTTAATTTTTATTTTTTATTGTGAAAATACTGTACAGAGGGGGTTACAATTACATGGGCAAGATAATGAGTACTTTTTTTTTTTTGGCCAGTCATGGGGCCTGAACTCTGGGCCTGGGCACCAGTGCTGGGCCTTGAACTCTTGCCTGGGTGCTGTCCCTGAGCTTTTTGGCTCAAAAGTAGTAATCTACCACTTGAGTCACAGCTCCATTTCTGGCTTTTTGCTGGTTAATTGGAGACTCCAGTCTCAACAGAACAATCAGGGCATTGTGATGCAGTCCTGTCAGTCTAGCAACAAGAGAAAGATTTAAGATTACAGCTAGTCCAGTCTGGTTGTAACTTGATACCCCATTCAAAAACTAACAAAGTGTAAATGAAAAGGGTACTTGGTGGGTTCAGTTTGTAGGGGTGCCAGCCAACCAAGTTTACAAATCCCCTTAGCTTCCCCCCACCCCCCACCCCCCGAAAAGGAGAAAGTGTTCTGCAAGAGCAGACTGAGCTTTTACTAAAGATTAGTTTGGTTCCTAAAAAAACAAAAACAAGCTTAAAACTATTAACATAAAAAAATGAAAATATGCTAAAAATGTCTTTTTTATTTGTTATCTCCACATCAGTGGAGATAAAACATGTATAGTTCATGGTCTCTGAGCAAAGGCTGTTTTTCTGAATAATCAGTTTGGTTATTTTTTTAGGACCCCCCTGGGTCGAGCAAGAGCCTGGCTTCGATTAGCTCTCATGCAAAAAAAAATGGCTGATTACCTGCGCTGCTTAATTATTCAGAGGGATCTCTTGAGGTTAGTACCATTAAATCATGTTTATTTTCAGTTTTTACCTTGTTCTATCTTCCAAAAAGGATTGAAGCTATTTGAAAAGATATAAGTGATACAATAAGATGCTCTACAATAAAAGAAACAAAGCAGATGAAAACATATGGGTACAGTATAGGTCAGACAAAAGCCCCGGGGCTGGGAAGGTGGCTCAGTGATAGAGCGCTTGCCTTGCATGCCTGAGGCCCTGGGTTCCATTCCTCAGCACCACATAAGCAAAAAGAAAAAAGCCGGAAGTGGCGCTGTGGCTCAAGTGGTAGAGCGCTAGCCTTGAGCTGAAGAACTGAGGGACAGTGCCCAGGCCCAGAGTTCAAGCCCCACGACCAGACCCCGCCCCCCCCCAAAAAAAGAAGCCCAAAACATGAATACCACTTGCTGCTTTTTTTATCATCCAATATGGGCAAAATTATATATATTTCTGTTAATTTCATTTTTCCGAATTATAGTTAATTCTGTGGCTAAATATTTACATTGGCATTTTGGAGTTTAATTCTTTATTTTTCTTAAATGTTGAATATCTAAATAAATGCATCATAGCGGGCATGCTTAAGCTGAAGGGAATATTTAGGGCAGACTCTGAGAGAAAGAGATCTGTGTGAAAGGGTGTGGGCCCAGGGCTGCCCTTCTCATCCTCCTGGGAGCACGGCCCTGTGTTTGCTTTTGTTTGTCATTCAGGTTTTGCATCTTGGGTTTCCTGTTTGTTAATCGAGAGTGACCATCCATAAGCACTGCTATTTTTTAGTAGTGTTCTGAAGATTAATTGAAGTGATTAAGGGACACATACGGGATTTATTAATGAAGGCATAATACAGCGATAAGTATTCTCTGAATATAGATTGACAAGTCTGAGCTTTTAGACTATCCTATTTCTTTTACAAGTCTCAATTGAACATTTAAAAAATGTCAATATCCATGTCTTTAGTCAATGATCATCAGTTCAGCTTGAGCGCTGGAATGTTTCATAGTCCTTTCTGACTTTAGTCTTTATCCCAGAGGTTTTAATGAATCCTGGGATGGAAAATTCAGCTCTAATAAAAAGTATAATCAGATTATCAAGAGTCACTGTGCCCTTCTGGGAGTCAAATATGACAAGTCTCAGTGGCATCTCTTCATTCCCAACCCTTCTCCTCCCATCCTCCTTCCCTACTTCTTCTCCTTCTCCTCCGCTTTTCTCCCCTCCTCTCCATATTTGTTTTGGTCAGTCATGGAGCTTGAACTCAGAGCTTGGGTGATATCCCTGAGCTTTTTTTGCTCAAGGCTAGTGTTCTACCACTTTGGCCACAGTGCCACTTCTCAGTCTTTTTCTTTTAATATTTATATATAAGCATTTACATTTTGGAAAGTTAACATGTAAGGCTAATCTGAAGGCATTTAGACTATTTTCATGTTTATAGGATCGAAGATAAGGAAGGTAAGATGCTAAGGTTTCAAAATTTAGTTTTAGAGATCAATTTGTGATTGAGAGGTTTTGTTTTTGTTCTTCTAATTTCCACAGTGAGTTCTATGAGTATCATGCATTAATGATGGAAGAAGAAGGAACAGTAATTGTTGGGCTGCTGGTTGGCCTGAATGTGATAGATGCTAATCTGTGTGTAAAGGGCGAAGATTTAGACTCACAAGTAAGTGAGCACGGTGCTTTCATTTGCACACTTCCTCCTTGATATAGGGTTCCTCTGAGTTATAAATAGTGCTGTTAATCACTTAATGAGAAACATAATTCAGTTGCACAGTATATCGGATTTGTCATTGCTGTGTCTGAGAAAAGCGACTTCAGGTGGAAGGATTTATTCTGGCTCAGAGTTTGAGTTTTCAGCCCATGGTCAACTTGCTCTATTGCTCTGGAGCCTGTGGTGGGGCAGGAGGGGGTGGCAGAGAAAAGCTGCTCCCCAGGAAATGGAGAGGATAACAGGAAGGGGCCAAGGCCAAGGTCCATCCTTCAAAGGCATGCCCCTGCCACAGCTTCTTCCCACTAGGCCTTACCTTCCATTTTCCCACCACCTTGAAGTAAGTAGTCTTTTCCGAGTTTGAATCTACTGCTGGATTAGACCATTGATCAGAGCAGAGCCCTGATGATCCGGAAATGCCCCCACAGACTCAGCCAGAGGTCTCTTCACTAATCTCCTAAGTGTCACACATTGATGGTACTTCTGATAAGGTATTTGTTCTTATCACATAAAATAATTTTATTAACTTTAGGTTGGAGTGATTGATTTTTCCATGTATTTAAAGAATGAAGAAGATATTGGAAATAAAGAAAGGTATGATTTTTATGTTATTCTGCATGTTTTCTTTTATAGTTTTACAAATAAATTTGAAATTCACAGTGTAGTTCATGCTCCTTCCCGTGCCTCCTGTGGTTTCTGCTTTATTTTCTATTTACTTCCTTTAAAAGCTTTTAAGACATATAAATATCACATAGAAGAATGTGACTTTAGTATGAAGTTATACTTTCAGTCAAACTTGCCCTTACTGATAACCTATATTTTTTTAAATAGTGACAGTGTATTTCAGGCTTAAGTTTAAACTATGATAATGGCATGGTTAAGTCAAATATTAGCAAGTAATTCATTCAACAAAGTGTTAGTTACTCACTTCTAGGTGATAACAAAGATTCTTCAGTTTTGTTTTAAAGGCAAACAATGTTTTTATTACAGTGTTACAACACTTTTTAGATGATTTAAATTTTTTCTACCCTTCCCACTAGCACAAAAATATTCTTTCCCCCCAGGAATGTTCAAATTGCAGCCATCTTAGATCAAAAGAATTACGTTGAAGAATTAAACAGACAGCTCAAGTAAGTATTATGGATACTTAGCAATTTTATAAATATTGCTTTAGGGTTTTGTTTTCAGCGTAATCCTGTTCTAAGAGGGGATAACTGAGAACAGAAATGGGAGCGATGGAGTGGCTGGGTACGGCTCAGCAGTAGAGCACTTACTTGGCAGGCACAGCCCTTCTCTACACTGTTTAAAAAACACCAACAACAAAAAACACCCCAGAGAATTATTCATATCAGCAGAAGATTAGAGTCCAGTTTTGAATCTTCATAGAAGTTATATAGAACTTTAAACTTGTCACCATACCCTAGATAAGGTGAAAGTTTATAGTATTTTGATGGCTCAGAGACTCCTTTTTCTATCTCAAAGGGTTTCCTTCATGTGTAAATGGCCATCATCTGTGGAAGTTTTCTCATTACAGTCTAGTGCACCTCTACCAGAAATATAATGCAAGATAAGAGATTACTGTAAAATTTCTGGTAACCACATTAAAACTAAAGAATTTGATAATATAGTTTAATCCAATATGACTAAAGTATAGTTTCAATATGAATATAAAAATTATAAGGTATTTTACAGCTAAGTTTGGTGGTACACACCTGTAATCCTAGCACTCAAGAGACAGAGGCTCAGTTTACGGCCAACCTAAGCTATATAGTGAGACCTTGTCTCAAAAGAATGTTCAAGGCAGGAGCTCGTGGCTCACACCTGTAATCCTAGTTACTTAGGAGTCTGAGATAGGAGGATCAAAGTTCAAAGCCATCCTGGGCAGTTAGGCCTATGAGACTTTTTTTTGCCAGTCCTGGGCGCCTCTTTGTGTTCAAGACTAGCGCTATACCACTTGAGCCACAGCACCACTTCTGGCTTTTTCTGAGTAGTTTATTGGAGAGTCTCACAGGACTTTTATGCCCAAGCTGGTTTCAAACTGAGATCCTCAGATCTCAGCCTCCCGAATAGCTAGGATTACAGGCATGAGCCACTGACCCCTGTCCCTCCTGTGAGACTTATCTCCAATCCAGAAGTGGGCCTGTAGTTAAAGCTCTAGACTACCCTCGTACCCTTGAAAAAAACAGTTCAGAGTGAGAGCCCAGGCTCTTGAGTTCAAGTGCCAGAACTGGCAACCCCCCCTCACCCCCCATCCCGACATACACACACAGTCCAAGGCAACTCCTCCAACAAAGCATTTGTTTCTCTTATGGTGTTGATTGTCATCTAAAGGCAAGGCAGATATTATTGTCTGATTTTATTTTTTATTTTGTTTTGTCGATCATTGAGGCTTAAACTCAGGGCCAGGGCAGCTATTCCTGAGCTCTTTTTGCTCAAGGCTAGTGCTCTACCATTTTGAGCCACTGGTGGCTTTGAACTGTGATCTCAGATCTCAACCTGCTGAGTAGCTGGGATTATAGGCATGAGCTACCAGTGCCCAGCTGTTGTCTGACTTAATAGAAAGGAATCTAAAATCACTGGATGTAAAATAAAAAGGGAACTGAAGTCCAGAAAGGTTTACAACTGTCAAGGTGACAAGTTACAAAGTGGGAGGCAAGGCCACACCGTGATCTTGCATTTCTCAGGCCTATTCTAATAGTCTTACCTTTAACATGCTGGCGTGCCAGTTGTTGGATAATTCATATGTTTGCCTGTGAATTATTATACTTAAGGTACAATATTTTGTTCTTGTTTTGGAGGAACTACGGTTTGAACTTGGAGCCTCTACCAAAATAATATGAATGGATAAACATTTTTCTTACTTTACAAACAATTTAAGTACCAAACTAGTTTATAAAACTGATAGAAAGCCAGGCACTGGTGGCTCATGCTTATATTCCTAGCTACTCAGGAGGCTCAGATCTGAGAATTGCAGTTCAAAGCTAGCTGGGGCAGGAAAGATCCTAAGACCCTTATCTCTTATCTCCAATTAACCACCAGAAAACCAGAAGTGCCACTGTGGCTCTAATGGTAGAGCTCTTGCCTTGAGCTGAAGAGCTCAGGGACAGCACCCAGGACCAAAGTTCAAGCTCCACAACTGACCAAAAAAACCCCCAAACCCCAAAACAACAAACTGATAGAATGTTTGTTGTGTGCCAGTTGTATTTTTTTTTTTTGTCGGTCGTGGGGCTTGAACTCTGGGCCTGGGCGCTGTCCCTCAGCTCTTCAGCTCAAAGTGAGCGCTCTACCACTTGAGCTACAGCGCCACTTCCGGTTTTCTGGTGGTTTATTGGAGATAGGAGTCTCACGGTCTCTCCTGCC